GTGGCCACTATGGCTACTGGAACTGTAGCTCTAGGCTTCTCAGCTGTGGGCGTACTCCTCTCTGGCTACATAGTGTCCAAGTATAAGCCTAGTGCAAGAGCCATGGCTGCTTGGAATGCGACTGTGGACTTCTTAACTGTGGCTGGCATTTTGCTCTATGTGTTCATTGGCTGCGAGGGCAGCGATCAGTTGAGGTCCATGGCGACCAGCGACAGCTGCATCGTCTCTTGCCACTGTGAATATGTGCACTACGCTCCGATCTGCAGTCCAGAGAATGTCACTTATATATCCGCCTGTCATGCCGGCTGCACCGAAAAAACCAAGGATCAACTGGGACGCACCTTGTTCACAGGCTGTGATTGTATAAGTCCAACAAATAAAACAGGTCCTTCCGAGGTAAGCATCATTAAGAATGGATGGAGTCTCATCTGTCAACTTATTGGCATCTTTTTCAGTTGCAATATGCAGTGGATGGAGCTTGCCATGTTGACTGCTTCCAGCAGTTTCTCATCTTTCTGGGCGTTATGTGTTTCCTCAAACTAGTAGGTGCCTCCAGTAAATCCACAAATTTGCTTATAGCCTTGCGTTGCATACCTCCAGAGGACAAAAGCTTTGCTCTGGGTGTAGGCAGCATGGTAGCATCTTTGTTGGGCTTCATTCCAAGTCCTATTTTCTACGGCTGGCTGATAGATAAGTATTGCTTGGTGTGGGGCAAGACGTGCAGCAATAAAGGTAACTGCTGGATATATGATACGCAGTCTTTAAGGTAAGAATTTTCAGCACTCAAATATGTGTGTGCTACATTAATCAATTGTGTGTTCTAGATATGCGCTGAATCTTGCGGCTGGTTCTTTCATTCTGTTGGGTGGATTCATGAATATTGTAGTTTGGTATCATGCCAAAAATTTGAAAATATTTGATGAAGTGAAAACTGAAACTGGTGAAACGAAAAAGAGCTTGGAGGATATCACATTAAAAGATCTGGGCAGCACACTTCAATTGCAAAAAATTGCAGAAGATATTTAAGATTTGTCATCTGACGTCATTTGCCACAATAAAGATCATGAAGTTTATATGCGTTTAACGTCTGGCGTTTATCTTTAGTCTTACGAACTTGACATGGATTTGAGACAGCTTTATAGGTCCCAAGCTGCATTAATTTACGACTACGAGATCAGAGGCATATGTATTAAACCCTTAGTTCAATATAGGCAGCCACTTATCCTGCAAAAATATTAAACATGAGATAAAAAATAATATTTAGTCGGCATGCCTTTTTGTTTTATATTGCTTTCTGGGCGATTTGGCATTGAATGCACCAATTTTAGGGCAACATTTGGTTCAACTTTGTGCCACTCTAACATTAGGGCTTCTTTAAGCTCCGTCTTGGTTGAAAATGTATACTTTCTAAGCCTTTTTTTTGCAGTTCCTCCCATAGGTGCTCGATGGGGTTGAGGCCTGGTGATTGAGGAGGATGTGGAAGAACATGAGCTGTATTGTATGCTAGCCACATGCTTCGAATCAATGTCCTGTTGAAATGTGATCTGACTGCTTAACTTTAACTTTACAGCCTTTTTTTTTTGTAAATTTGCCTTTAATATTTCCATATAAACACGCTTCTTCACTGTTCCTTCGATAAAATCCAGTATGAAACAGCTGCGGACATAAAATCCACACCGTAACACATCCTGTGAGCATTAAGTTGCAACTATTGTATGACGTATTGGATTTTCTCCACACTTTAATTCGGCCTTTTGAGCGAAAAATATTAAACTTGCTTTTGTCGGAGAATAGGACATCGTTACAGTAAGTTAAAGGCTTCGATTTAAAATCTGGCGATTGGAGAATGCCAATCTCCTCGATTGGTTAACTCTCGAAATATGTGAATAGCGTCTTGCATTTCTAACATTGTACCCAGCCTTGTGTAGTACCTGCCGTACCGTTTTGCAGTGAATTTCTTTCCCAGTCTCTTCTTTAACCTCTGATATTATTTGGGATGATGGGATTTTTGGCTCATTCTTGATCTTTCTTATTATTTGGGTGCGATCACGATCGGTTAACTTTTGTTCAGCGTTTACTGTCTGAAAATTTATCAACTATGCTACGAATAGTAAATTGACTTCTGTCCAATAGCTCGCCTATTTCTTTATAGGATTTGCCTTGTTTGCGTAAATTTATAATTATTTTTCGACGCTCTGGGCTGGTTTCACACTTCTTAGCGGCCATTTCTGCAAAATCATATACAAATTGATAATAATACATATTTTTAGATTCATATAACGGTGCTTACAAGGTTGCATTTTGGCAAAGAAAGGTGTGACTATATCAAAACTAATATTAAAATACCAACTAAGTATTTGAATACTTTTGTCCGTGTAAAATTACGCACCAAAGTTTATAAAAATAATTGGATTGCTTGCACAAATAACTAATAATCGTATGAAAACTATAAAATGATCAAATATTAGACGGTATATTGGACAAAAACTACAATAAAATTAGACAATATTAAATTGCCAATACTTTTTTCCGTGACTGTAAGTATTCGATTTACAGTAACGATTAAAGGTATTGTTATAGATCACAACTTTTTGAGTAACGTTTAATACTTATTTAGGTGAATGTTCGATTACAAGACTTCAGTTTCGTTCGGATCACTTCAAATACTTAGTATATATATATATAACATAATATATAATGTATAACACTAATAAAATGTAAAGTAATAATGTATAACATATTTATAATATAATATATAATGTAATAAAGCAATGATAAATATTTAGATTATAATGTGACTACTTAATTGTGAACCAAACAGTAAATGTTTGAACTGTTGAATATTTTCAGGCAGCTTTAAAAATATCTTGTTAGAGGAATAATTGAAATACATTTAGTCGATAAAGAAAAGAATATGCTTAGATAAAATGATTATATTATCGTTTCACCTGTTTGCTGCATAGGTTGCCAAAATTCTTATCATGACGGTAGTTAAGCAGACGCGTAATCTGAAAGTTCTTTCTTTTATTGATGTGAAGTATCGAGATAAATGTAAACTCATGTGAATTTGAGCACAAATTATGCTCAGTTCAGCTAAGCGCTTGAATGGAGCAAGTCCAGTATGAGCGTCGATAACAAGGATCAGAGTGAGGTGTCTCCATTTCTAGCGGATGATGACAACCACTCAGCCTTAGAAAAGCAGGAGCAGGAGCTGAAGGATCCCAAGATTTCAGCTCTTGAAGCAGAAGATGATAGTAAACATATTACGTGCGGTTTCTGGATATTCAGGGGACCCTTTCTGCAAAGGTATTGCTGGGAATGTCCCTATAGTTAACGAAATTTACAGAGACCCATTTTAGCTGTGCCACGGAAGCCATGTATGTGACCATATATGGCATAGCTGGCTGCTTTATGGCCATGTGCTTTGCCTACTTCAATGGCACAATAACAACATTGGAGAAGCGCTACAAGATACCAACCAAAACGCTGGGCATCATCTCGGTTGGCAACGATATGAGCACCATGTTTGCCTCGGCCCTAACAGGCTATTACCTACGCAAAGTACATCGACCACGCTGGATGGGCTTTGGTAAGCGTAACCATAATCCAACTTTATGGATAATCATCAGTTACTTAAAGCAAGCCCACTTTTTAGGTCTATTTACCATCGTTAAATTCTGCTTATTGAACTGCTCGCTGCACTTTATCTATGGTGCTGGCGAGGAAGCGTTGCAGCTCACTCGTAATTATGGAGACTACCAAAATCTAACTGGAAATTTAAAGAGTGCACACAGAGACCACAAACTTTGTATGTCGGAGGATTCCAGCTTGTTGTGGGCCTGGCCTACATGGATGATAACACCACCAAGTCCAAGACGCCAGCCATGCTGAGTAAGTCCATTACTTTATGTCTAGAATTCCCCCCTCGGTTTTCTATTTGAGAATAATTATGGATCTGAACTAACAATGAACTACTCACTTTCCGAATCCCTTCAGGTTTCTCCACATTTCTACGCATGTTGGGTCCTGCTATTGGATATTCCCTGGCCTCACTCTGCCTGCGTTGGTATATTGATCCTACAGCGGAGCCCTTGATCAAGCCCGAAGATCCCAGATGGTTGGGCGCCTGGTGGCTGGGTTGGCTTATTTTGGCAGCCATTACATTTTTAATTGCAATCCTTGAGCCTGTTGCCTTCTGAGCCTTAAAATTGGAAAGATCTGGCAAGCAAAATCCAATTGAAGGGCAGCGATCAGTTGAGGTCCATGGCGACCAGCGACAGCTGCAGCGTCTCTTGCCACTGTGAATATGTGCACTACGCTCCGATCTGCAGTCCAGAGAATGTCACCTATATATCCGCCTGTCATGCCGGCTGCACCGAAAAAACCAAGGATCAACTGGGACGCACCTTGTTCACAGGCTGTGATTGTATTAGTCCAACAAATAAAACAGGTGCTTTCGAGGTAAGCATCATTAAGAATGGATGGAGTCTCATCTGTCAACTTATTGGCATCTTTTTCAGTTGCAATATGCAGTGGATGGAGCTTGCCATGTTGATTGCTTCCAGCAGTTTCTCATCTTTCTGGGCGTCATGTGTTTTCTTAAGCTAATTGCTGCCTCCAGTGAATCCACAAATTTGCTTATAGCCTTGCGTTGCATAACTCCTGAGGACAAAAGCTTTGCTCTGGGTGTCGGCAACATGGCAGCAGCTTCGTTGGGCTGCATTCCGATTCCTATTTTCTACGGCTGGCTGATAGATAAGTCTTGCTTGGTGTGGGGCAAGACGTGCAGCAATAAAGGTAACTGCTGGATATATGATACGCAATCGCTAAATCGCTGAATCTTGCGGCTGGTTCTTGTATACTGTTGCGTGGCTTCATGAATATTCTGGTTTGGTATCATGCCAAAGATCTGAAAATATTTGATGAAGTGAAAACTAAAACTGGTGAAACGGAAAAGAGCTTGGAGGATATCACACAATTTGCCACAATAAAGATCATGAAATTTATATGCGTTTGGCGTCTGGCGTTTATCTTTCGTCTTACGAACTTGACATGGATTTAAGACTTTAGAGAGTCATATGGATAAAACCCTTAGTTCAATAAGGGCAGCCATTCATCTGGCAGCTGAGGCTCAGGTATAGCAATAGCATTATTTGCCTCTATTTCATGTGAATCACCAAGGCACCACAAGGCGTCGAAGAGTATCAATTGCAAGAGGCCGACACCAGCTGAGCACTCCTCAAATGTAATGGGCGGCAAATCCATTTGAACTTGTGCGCTATATGCATTCAGCCTTTCGTTATTTAAGAGAGCCAAGGAAATGGGTTTGTCTCTATGTTCCTCGATCTTCCACATGGCTAACAGTACTTCTGGCAGGGGCTTTATAAACTCCTGTAGTAGACCATCCGCATCTACATTTTGTGTGTAGTTTTTACGCAGCTCGTCCAGCTGCTCCGTATTGGTGCTCTTAACAAATAGCTCATGCTGCAGCCGGTACAAACAGCGTGCAGATTTGGCGCAAAATAGGTTTTCAAAGCAGCTATGCAGGTGGCACGCATCTAAAACGATCTGTGGCAGCGTTTGTTTAGCTACCATTCCAACCTCCCGCAACGCTTGCATGTGCAGTTTCTGCTTAGGTGCAACGATGGCCACATAATTCTCCAGTCCATTGTGCTCGATTTCAAGTAATATGTTTGTCAGAACGCGGCCGATTTCATCGTTTGTGATTAGCTGTCATAATGGAAATATGATTAGTCCAACTCTCAAATATAAGTTACAAAATATATATAGTCTCTATATCTGAATAGCTTACAGGCATCCTTAATTGCTGCAGCTCCATATGCTTGCCGCGCACTCTTGCCAAGCTTCTGGCATAGCAAAGACGCTGCTCCTCGCTATTGGTGCGCGTTAGGAATACCACAAAGATCTGCCAATACGATATTATAAATATGCGTATTTTGTAATATATTCACTTACCTTGTGGATATACGGCTCCAAGCGTACCCAAAACTCACTCATATTAAGCGTATACGTCTTGGTCCGATCAATTCGATGCAAAACCCCAGGATGATAGTACTCGAGGCCGTCCAGATTGTAGGTTTTGTGTATGCGGCGCAGTCTCCACTGCACCCTTTTGGAGAACGCTGCGTACTCATCATCCGTCATGCATTCGATTTCTGCAAAGTCATCTGGCTGCACGCAAGCTCCAAACTTTGCAATTGGTGGTCTTCCGGGCCGCACATAGCCCTGTGCCTGAGCCTCGGCCTTTTCGTGGCGTGCTGTTACTAGGCGATCGTGTAGATCCTGCTTGGTGCCTTTGATGTTCAACGCACGGCCGTAAAGATCGCGTATTAAATCCCGTAAACTAAATTCAGACAAAGGCAACTCCATTTCACAATTTCGAGGCAAAATGTACCGCAATCAAATTTCTTAGCGCGAAATTTAGTGGTGGACCAATGCAGTGTGGGAAATCGTATCAGTGTGCAGTGTTGGCAAGTTATTAGCTTGCAATCGATATATCGATATTTTTACATTTTAAGCAGTAACCGTTATATTCTGTAATTCAACATTGAAATACTTTAATTACTTTTTGTTGTAAATCATAGTTACTTTGCAAATGTTCTGACAGTCCATCTTAACTTACACCAGAAATCACATTTTCCAAATGCAATAGTTCAATCCTTTCATTTCCATCCATCCGTCCACCCAGTTCATTCAATGGCCCAAAACAGTTGCTGCAAATGGAAGGAAATATTGAGTAAAAATCTTCCACAAAAATGTCCAGCGAATTGTTTCAATCCATTGAATGGACCCTGCCCCGACTACAAAATCGTCGATGTGGTCAACCGGGAGGCGAGCGTTGTGAAGGCCATACTCGAGCCGGAGCCGCCCATACGACGGATAATAGACACGAACGCACTCTGTTCCAAGTGCTGCGGCCTCGCCGAGAATACGCCGGAAAAGTGTTGCAACTTGTGTGATGCCCAAAATGGAACCCAAAGAAATAATTTATGTTCAGCTGCATGCAGACCGCTCAGCACAAAGCTGCACTTGGAAGAGGTACTATTTACGAAATTCCAATCTCGTTCTTTAGATAGTTTATTTTTCCGGTTTTTAGTGGACGAAACGCCCGCGGCAGAAACCGACGTATAAGCACAGTCTTTTTGTGGACAATGAAATGTTAGCTGGACGTGTGTTTCCCGTCAAGTTCCGCTTGCGTAGAACAAAAAACCATTGCAGCGACTGCGGAAAGGAGCTGTACTTCCGTGATCCCATTACGGACAATACAAACGTGGTTGTGCTCACAAACTGCTGCGACGTTAAGGTCTATCACAACAGGACCCTCGAGAACTGGCATCGTGTGCCCATCCTCTCAATAACCGGCGATAGAATGATGAAAAAGAAAACCATCAATGAAGTATGCCAACTGGAACCCAAAAAACTGCCGCCCGTTGCGGGGATAATCGCCAAACCAATTGACGAAACGCGACCAAGTAGTAAACGTAAAAGTAAAAAGGGCAAAAAGGGAAAGAAAGGAAAGAAGGGAAAGAAATAATGCTTTGGAATAAAATCGTAACTTAAAAATTAATTGATTGTTTTAAGAAATATCTCTCATATTTGTAAATAAGTCAAGAGTTCTAAGCAATAAGCTTATCATAGGTTTTTCAACTGTGTTTCAATTTGCATTTAATTAATTTAAATTCAGTCGCATAAGCATACTTAGCGTTAACCTAATAACTAAAATGTATAATTCAGCTTAATATGCCAATCCACAATATGTAGAAAAAGGGGAACTTAGTTTTTTGATGATCGGGTTGTTTTTCCTTGTATTACTTTTGTTATAATTACAGATACAAATACTTGAATATTATCAATATATTGTTGTTGTTGTTGTTGTTTAGCTTTTGCAGCTAGAATACGTGAAATATGACTTAAGACTAAATCATGATATATTCCTGCAATTCTCTCACTAATTTGCTGTTGAGTTTGCCGGGTTTGGTTTGGGGTTTTAAATATTACGAGATGTTTTTGGAAAACTATGGGGAGCACTCGGTTTGGGTGCCCAATTGTTCTGCGCAAGGCGTTGTATTGCAGTTGGATCGATTTTTGCGTGATATCGAATTTCACAACTATATATTATAATAATAATTAGACGTAGTGTTTATGGTTGTCAAAACTAGATTATAACTACATATGCACTTGAATATTATTTTTAAAAATTAGCTACAAGTTGTTACGTTCTACATTTATGTATGGATATTTTAAAATAAGCGTCTCTTATACTGTCAGTGGCGAGTGTCACGTCAATTCAAATCTTGAATCTTGAATCTTGAATCGTGTGCTACTCCATTTCAACTAATATTAGCCAAACTTGGGAGGCGGGAAGAGCCTATGTTTTTCCAATAACGGGAAAGAAGTCTTTGAGAAGTGTGGTGCGACGCTTTTCAGCAATATCCATTTGATTCTCGAGCGCCGCTCTGTCCGTCGTCTCGGCTCGCTCAATTTTCCACGACAGATTCTCGATTTCAGCCTCCAATTGTGCCTGCAAACAAAAACATATTAACAAACTTGTATATGGATATGCGCATATTCCAACTCACCTGCTGGTACTCGAAGAGATTCTTTCGCGAGCCGGCCTCCATGTAGTAGGCATAGGGATAGGTGTATTGCAGCGTATAGCGACACTTGGCGAGCAGCGAGGCCGCGTTGAACAGATACTGCCAGTCGATCCAGGTGCCGCTGCCGTTCATGACCTTCGCATTGATGCGCTGCCTCAGACGATCGATCGTCTGCTGCTCCAGTTTGAGCGACTTGGAATGATTCTCCCAGCGCTCGTAGTAATGCAAATACTTTTTGAGTGCCTCGCGCGCCTGCACGTGCACCGATTCGTTGGCAATATTGGGATTGTCCTTGTAGCGGGAGCACTCGTAATATTCGGAGCCGTGCGTCTTCCAATCGCCCAGGCACATCCAGCAGAAGTCGTGCTTGCAATTGAAGCACTGCATATGATTGCAGCCGCCGTTCTTCTCGATGCATATGTGACACTTGGGGCAGTCTTTGGTGTGTGCGCTAATATAGTTGGCCGTTTCGCTGTCGTCGGCGCACTTGGTCAGCCATTTCCTGATGATCAGGCAGTCCGTGGGCGCATGGTAGTCCATGCCGCACTTGAAACAGAAGCACGTATGACACGCCTTGCAGATGGCACGCTTAGCGCAGATCTCAGATGATTGCACAATGATTTGGCAATTGGGTCCGGGGCAGAAGCGCAGCTCCGGATGCGACCTCACATAGTCCTTGAACGCAAACTGTTGATACTTGTCGCGCATCAACGGACGCGTCACCAGCGTCAGCACCAAATCCTCCGGCACCCGGACATTGCACTGCTGCGCCATGCAGCCAATCTGTATGGAGATGCCCTGAAAGATTTGCGTCTCAAAGTAAATGGTCCAGCAGTCCTTGCAGAACGAATGACCGCACGCCAAACTGTAGAACTTGTCGTTCGGCTGCGAGCTCGCGCACACCGGGCACATGCGGCGCTGCTGCTGGGACGTGGTATTGCTGCTGGCTGTGGGCAACGTTGTCGCTGTCCTGTAGCCCGTGCTGCCTATACGCAGCAGCTGTGCAGCCGCTGCACTCGTCGAGGCGGAGGCTGCGTCCGCAGCAGTTGTGGGCGGTTTGATGCGCGCCGTCACCAGCAACGCGTTCGCATCCTGACGATACTTCTCCACCACCGCCGCGTTATTCCATTGATGCTCGAGCAGCAGCACCTTGGCCAGCGATGGGGTTATTTGCAGTATCGTATTTAATTTCTCCACCAGCTCGTTGAGCAGCTTCTCAATGTCCTCCACGGTCAGGCAGTCGTATTCAAAGTACTCGGGATCAGCACGCTTTGGATCGAGTCTTTCGACATCGCAGTCTTCGCCTGAAAGTATGCAAAGCCAATCAGACTAGCAACAGGTACAGGGTAACAATTTGTATATAGTTAAATAACAAATGGGACTTTTAATCGATAGGTTCCCGGTCCAAATCCAGCAACAGTTTATATAGTATCTACTCTTGAGTATATATAAGATAAGCCATGGTCGAACGAGTGTCTGTAAAGGGTATCTACTCGTCGAGAATATCTCATGCTGAATTTTTACATTTAAGCCATTTTCGAAGAGGTGTCTATAAAGGGTATCTACTCGTCGAGTATATCTCATGCTGAATTTTTACATTTAATCCATTTTCGAAGAGGTGTCTATAAAGGGTATCTACTCGTCGAGTATATCTCATGCTGAATTTTTACATTTAAGCCATGGTCGAACGAGTGTCTGTAAAGGGTATCTACTAGTCGAGTATATATCATGCTGAATTTTTACATTTAATCCATTTTCGAAGAGGTGTCTATAAAGGGTATCTACTCGTCGAGTATATCTCATGCTGAATTTTTACATTTAAGCCATGGTCGAACGAGTGTCTGTAAAGGGTATCTCCTCGTCGAGTATATCTCATGCTGAATTTTACACTTACTACGCAGTTTATATGCAATGGGTTTATTGCATTTCCGGACCCAAGGGATGTGCCTCTGGCATTCCTTATTTGTCGCTTGCGTTTTCAGCTCTTGCCCATTTTCACCCTGATTTTTCACATTATCAGGAAAAACCAACTGTGCACCAGGTGCAAGCTACGAATGATTCAATTGGTTTGCTACCTGCTTTTCCAGCTCTTTTCGAGGAATCCACAGCTGGGGCGAGTGGAAAATGGGAAAGTTGAGAGCAAGGCCCTAATTCCAACCAAAAGAAAGAAAAAAAATATCATGCTGATGGATGATAGGCTGAATTGTGATTGTCATTTTTACGACTGTTGGAATTCGATTGAAGGCCAAATACGTCGTCGTTATATCGTTACGTTGTTATTACGTCTTCGGATTACAAATAAGATGAAGTCATGACGTCACAGCCAAACCAAAATGTGACGAGAGAGAGAGAGAGAGAGAGCGAGAGGGGAGCGAGTAGGCAGGTTAAAAGCAGTTGACGGAAGAAACTGAACGACGCGTCGTCGCGACGTCAGACAGCGGACACTTAAGCACGCAGCGGCAGCAGCAGCAGGTACATAGAGTACAAAGCAGAGGTGGTAATAATTCAAATACCAAATAAATCGAGCTTGACCGACCAGCAGATACCCTGTACATAGCGCTCGATTTGCCGTAACATACAATTCTATTTATCACAAAAACAACCCGATGCCAAAAAGACGAATTAGGACAATTTAACTCTCTTATCTCTAGATCTATTCATTTTAAAGGGTCAAAGATACCTTTGACTGCCTGTTACATACACTTCCGCAGTTGCAACATACCCGCTACAGCTGCGTACAGGGTATCATAGCAGCAGAGCTCTAAGCGCTGGCCCCGCATGTTTTGGCGCTGGCCGAGCTGAACGAACGATCATTTCAAGTTCAATTTCATAATTTAAGCTTCATGGTCAGAAAGCAAAACGTAACGAACCGAATACAGCTACAAAATTAAATACATTAAAATTATAATTTAAATGGGAAGACGGCGCAGCAAATGGACAACTCACACGCTTGGGGAAAAAGAGTTTAAGTAGAAGGGCAGCAAAGAGGGGGGAAGGCAAATTCAAAAGGCGAATGTCAAGAGCCAAGTTACGTGCATGCAATAAAATAGAAGGTTAAATGCAAAATGCTAGGCCCAAGAAATGTTTGAGTGTGTGTGCGTGTGTGTGACACAGAGGTGAATAACCAAAGCAAAGCGCATGCAAACTTCACATACACACAGTAAATGGTTCTGTCCAATAAGATAATCAAAAAGCTGCATTTGTGTGCGTGCGTTTAGCTTAAATCGATTGCTCGTGTGTAATCGATAAGCTGCACAAAGCGTCCTTGGACACTGCCCCTTCTTACCGGTATTATAGTAATCATAATCGTCATCAAATTCCCCATCGTTGTCCGATTCCAATTCCATCTCAATGTCCGAGTCCATTGCAACTCTGTCAGGAGGTGGCTGCGGGGGAGAAGTTGTGCCAGGCAGTAGGGAGCAGGGGCAGCCTTGTACGTGCGTGTGTGTGTGTGCGTTTCTCGCTTGGTTGGCCGTTGCCTTGCCTGACGACGATTGAAGGGCGAGTAAAGCAAAAACGTAAAAATACTTCTTTACAAGGCTATTGCACGAGCGAGGGGGTTGGCGGGGCTTCTCTCTTGTTGTTGTTGTTGCTGTTGTGTTTGTAACAGTTGCTATTGTTGGTGGTGGCGTTGCTGCTGTTATTGGTGGTGGTGGAAGATTTAGTTGTGTTGTTGTTGTTGCCGTGGGGTATGTTGCAATTGTCGTTACGTCGTTGTCGCACTCCCCATTTACATGGGCACACGCTGGCTGGAAGAGCTTTAGCTTAGCGGGGTGGCAACGTCGCTGTCAATAGATCCCGTTTTATTTTCGTTTCACACACACGCACACATGCGGGGCTGCTGGTGCATTCAGTGTTGTGCATTTGATTTTTTTTTTACTGTTATAAATAGACACTTGCACCGTCAAGTCAATGACAACGCACTCTGGTCAATTCTTTCTCGTCGATGTTCTTTTGTTTGTGGCAATGC